GGAAGCTGACGATGCCGTTGTGCTGGCTGCCCGTAAGATGATGAGGAGAGCGGACCGGGGGAGCGCGTTGCAGCGCTCCACGTAGCCGCGAAGGAACTGGCCGCCCTGGGAGAAGCCGATGGCGTCGACGGCCGGGGCCGAGGAGAGGATGGGGTCGGCGGCGATGTCGGCGCAAACCCTGCTCGAGCTGGGTCGAGACGTTGCCAAAGAAGGTAGCCGAACGGTCGGCATTGGGGTCGGCGCCAACCTTGACGATGTGGACGTAGATGCCGGGGAAGGCGGCATCGGCCAGTTCAGCGACCTGCTGAATGCCTTCACCGTCGAACGAGTCGCCTAGGCCATGCCAGATGATGAGGGGAAGAGGCGTATCATCGTCGGCATCGGCAGCGGCGATAGATACAGGGCTCTGCCTGGATGCCGTGGCCAGGCAACCTAGAGCAAGCAGGCTGTAAGGAAGAATCGACTTCATGGTGATCGCGCGTAGCAAGTGTGGACAGCAAAGTCCTTGTTGGTGATGTTGATGATCATGCTGTGTTCAAGAACAAGGTGACGCAAGCCAAACGGCCCTGGATAGGAAGCCAAGCAGGCAGGCAGGCAACTTCGAGCTGTGGCAAGCCGAGCTTCCCATTGGCCGCGTCCAGGACAAGGCGCTTGGAATCGGCGATATGATGGTCCGCTCCCTCCAGGCTCCACTCGCGGCATGTCGGCCACAAGCACCGGCACGTCGTCCGGCGAAACAGTGGAACTCGCAGGGAGAGTCAACGCGGTATGCACGGCCCTTCACCCCAACTCCAGTCAGTCACCTTACCTCGACTCGAGATCGAATGTCCATGCGGGCGTGCCATCGTACATCCCACGTTCGTTAGAATTGACATCGTTCTTCCCACCTTGGACGTCTGCTTCACAATTGTCCGCGTCGCATAGCGCAGCCAAGTCCGGAGATGCTAACGCGATCTGCTGATCTTCGCACCATGGTCAGGGAAACGTCCCGTTTTTGGCCTGCAGGGTCGATGGCGCGGCGAACTCTTCGTGGCTCCTGAAACGGATGCTGCAACATCCACCATGGAAGCATCGTTTCACAGTTCAGACGACTACCACGTCAGAAGCCATCGACGCTGAACTGGTGAGCGCGCCCGCACGCACGGCATCAGGTGCCGGTTCAGGTGGCCCCCTTCTGGGAGGCGAGAGACTCACCTCGCCATAAGTATGGGAGGTCGTCCACCCCTTCTTGGCGACCCATGCCCTCCGATGACATGACCGCTTTTGTTTGACCATTACGATATCAAGACTTCATCAGCCACTGTTTGAGCAGCAAGAAAGATCAGCAACGATCAACGTATTTTTTTCTCCCCCTCAAGACAATCAACATGCACCTCGCTGCGCTTCTCGTCGCCATCCTCCCGGCCGTGGTCCTGGCCCGTCCGTACCTCCCCTTGATCTTCCCACTCTGCCTCCGAACACCCCGGCCCCCTGAGGTTCCCGTCATTCCGCGTGACGCATTCGAGGCTGCCGCTCTCGAGCTGGTCGAGGCCGGCCAGTAGGTGCAGAGGCCGATCACAAGACCATTTCACCATGGTATGTACGTCCTGGCACCATCCATTGATCGACGACTGCAGAGCATGATGGTTGACCAAGGTGCTCTCAGCCCAGTACAACGGACAAAATGATGCCTGCTTCGGAACAGAATACGCATGGGGCATCCTGCAGCTCGGTTCCAGGCCAGTACAGGGACTTTACAGTCATTCGTGGCGTACAATGTGGTTATCATGATGAGGAGATGCATGTACAATAAGGGGGGGCATCGCAAGGAGTAAAGGAGGGGGTGAAGGCATGACAGCCGTGTTTTTTTTTTATTTGCTCGCAATCCCGACCATGCACGGTCGCACCTGTCGTCTTCTGTGAAGATTGAAAATCAATCAAACGATTTGATCAAACAAAATGACTTCTATCAATGTACTGCTATGTCGTGATTGTCAAGACTGGGCTTCCTGGACGACCACAAGTGAGCGCCCTGGGAGGTTGGTGGAGCTAAGGGGGAGGTGATTGGCCAATGAGGTGGTCTGCTCCCCACATCGAGCCTTTCCACTGAGATGCAGATGCTCCTGCAAGTTTGTCATCGTTCAGTCGCGACAGCTCCAGCCTTGCCTCGTGCCGGGCTTGCATTTTAACAAAGTCGACGATACTCAACTCACTTGCCTCCCCAACACGACAAGTCCTTAGCTCCCACCTCTGCGTTACCGCTGAGACGATTTTACCAGCGGCCAGGTCAGGTCTTGACTCTCGGTCCTACAGCGGCCGAGTCGCGAGCCAGGGGACTGCATCAATATTTTGGAGAGTGTTTGCTCCTCACATCTTTGCATCCTCCTCGCGATAATCCCGACAGCTTACTCAAATCCGTATGCGCCACTCTACGTTCGCCTGCGACCGATAGAAGACCCGTAAAACTACCATAGCCTTGCTCAGCATGGCTCCGAATGGCCCTCGGGCGCAGACGACCGTCAAAGATGCCGACAAGCTACCTCCTCAACCACCTATCCCCGAAGGCGTCGTCGCTCTCGATCATACCGAACCCCCCAAGGGTCCGCACCCTGGTCACGTCCAGGTCGCATGTCTATTTACCCTCGAACAGAAGCTGCAGCGCATGTTGAAAGAGCACGGATGCGAACCGGGCCAGAGAAGACACGTACCGGCTGCAAGGCGTGCAGCTACTGGACAACGTCCGCGAGTACCTTCACCTGTAGGATCCCATGAAGAATCGTGCGCAGATTGGCAAACAGTTTTCTGACACGTTCCGGCGCAGACCAGTGCGCACCTTTGATACGGCGTGCTTCTATTTCCACCTTTTTCGTCTCTGCCATAGGGATGCCGAGTACAACTACCAGGATGCCGCCCTCGCTTCCCTATTCTTAGCCTGCAAGGTTGAGGACACCATCAAAAAATCAAAAGAGATCTTGTGTGCTGCGTACAACATTAAGAATGCCGAGTTCACAACCACACAGGATGACAAGGTAAGCGTGTGGTGTTTGGCGTTTTGGGGGGGGGGTGCTCTTGGCGTTTCTCCATAACCCCTTGTGAAGCACCGCCTCGGTGTCACTGCTATTTTGGACGTGCCTGCTGACCATCCCCCGCGCATTTCCAGATGTTCGAACAGCCGTCCAAGATAGTGATAGGACTAGAGCGTCTGATCCTGGAGACGATCGGCTTCGACTTTCGCAGTCGGTACGCGCAAAAGTACTTTGTCAAGGCGATCAAGACGATTCTGGGCCCCTCGGCGACAAAGGCGTTTTTTGCGACGACGTACGACATGGGCATCGACCTACACAAGACCTTTGCGCCGATCAAGCAGACCACCTGGACAATGGCCCTGGCTGTGACTGAGCTCACGGCGCTCGTCACAGGGGCACACATTGATGCGGTGCAAAAGGTCAAGCCGTCCGACTGGCACACGACCCGCGCCGACATTGTCGAAACGATGCTGGATCTCCTCGACCTCTACACCCAGCACCCCAAATCGACAAAGGTGGGCTCGCTGTACGAAGAGCAGCACTTCTTCGACATCAAGAGAAAGGTCATGGCGGAAGTGGACACAGGCATCAAGGAGAATGGCGCCGACAGGGGCAGCAAGATCAGCCGCTACCTCGTCTGGTGTGAACAATGCAAGGTGGACGAACCACAGCCGGGTTTCACGCCCGCCATTACCCCCAGCTTCACCCCAAGCTTCACTCCCGGCTCGCCCGCCACGACGGGCTCGGCGCCGGGGAGCAACCCTGCCGTCAAGCGCAGCACACGCGGCACCGAGGGCACGATGCGCTTCGTTTTCGACATGGATCAGGCCAAGGTCGAGAAGAAGGCTGTGGACTCATACTTGCACGAAGAGTATGACGATGTTGAAATCGATCGGGTCGAGGCGATTCCCGAGGCTGAGCGCCAACAGCAGCAGCAGCAGCACCATCAACAACAGCATCGTGATAGGAGACACGAAGGTGGTCGCGGCGGTCCCTACTCGCGGAACAACAACCGTGATCGTCGTAAGGGAGGACCGCGGTTTTACTGATGAGGTGATGGGACTGGAGAGTACATTTGCGATCCTACGTGGCACTTCTTTTGGCGTTTGGACGGGCGTTCAGGGGGGCTTGATACCCAGAGAGTCAACTCGGCCACTCAATTTGAAAACGATCATAACATTTGCTTGTTGTATTTCCAGGTCACTTGACGCTATGATCCTGAAGCTGATGGCCAGTGAGCCGTGTGAAGATTGCGAATCAGCACCACGTCTCACCCTTCGTTCTCGAAATGTTGTGGCTTAAGAAGACACCCATCCATCTCTAGAGCTCCGCCAATTCCGCTCATGATGAGTGGAGTTCCTGCTTGACTTACGGTTGCAGCGAAACTCCGATCCTGGGAGATCTATCTCTCCCTTCTCTTAACTCCGGGCTACTAACACCGGAAGTATCGCCAGCACAAGACGGACCACAACGACTCTCAACTGTCAAACAGCAGTCACCATCAGAGCATCTGTCTACTATGCTATCCTTCCAACACCCCAATACCTAGCCATGCACCTCATTCTTACGGGGGCCACAGGCCTTGTCGGCACCAGCGTCCTTGATGCCATGCTCAAGACGAACGCCATCACGAAGATATCCATCCTCAGCCGACGACCCGTTCCCATGGCCCAAAACTCGGACGATCCTAGAGTACAAGTCATCATCCACAAAGACTTTGCCCAGTATGAACCCGAGGTCATGGTCAAGCTTCAGGGTGCCACCGGCGCCGTCTGGGCTCTCGGCGTCAGCCAGACGCAGGCCTCCAAAGAGTACAGCCCCAGCGTATCATTTTCGCGTCAACGAGAGCACACGACTGACAGGACCCCAGGGACTACGTGACCATCACGCGAGACTACCCCTTAGCAGCAGCGAAAGCGTTCGCCAACCTCCCGTCGGCGGACCAGCCGTTTCGCTTCGTCTACGTGTCCGCCGGAGGCGCCACACAGACCCCGGGGTTTCTCACGCCCTACTACGGCGCCGTCAAGGGAGAAGCGGAGACTTTGCTGTCCGAGCTGCGCCTCCGTGCGCCGCGTCTGCGGACGGATTCGTTTCGCGCCGGGTTCGTGGATGCGGCACAGCATGCCGAGATTTCGCCTTTTGTCCCCCGGCCGCCTTTGCTGTACCGCCCGGTGGTACCCCTTGTGGCGGCGCTGATGAGCGGGTTCGGGGCGACGTCGATGCGCTGTCCGACGGAGCCGCTGGGGCGATTCTTGACGGAGGTGGCCATGGGGAAGTTCGATGGGCAGCTGCATGCTGGAGGCGACGACATTGCGACTTTACATGGTGGTTTGAGGATAGTGGAGAATTGGACGTTCAGAAGGCTGGCTGGTCTTGGTCCATGAACGGCAATAGCCGCTCTGGTGAGTCTGGGTCGTGAACTTTATGGGGCTTGAGTTGAGTACGATCGGTCGAATGGATAGAGCAGTCATTGATGCTCGGTCTACCTTTCAGTCGTGTCTTGCGGAAGGAAAGTGGTGCTCGGTCTTTCTCGTTTGCCTTTTCATGTATCGTCCTCAGTCTAGACCTATGGCGGCCCCTATAGGAAAGCCTTTAAGACTGCGATAGGCATTGAGGCCCTCGAGGGAATGTCCAAGTCGGACGAATAAAGTTGTTCTATTGCAGTGGACTCATCCATGCTGGTATCATTTCGGTGCCATAATATCTGTCCAATGCTTCCCCTTCGCCCCCGGAGCCTGCAGTGCGAGTCGCTCAAAGGCCCTAAGCACGGCTCCCGCGTCAGGAACCTGCTTGCCCTCCCGCATGATAGCTTCACCCTCCGTCTGCCTCGCTTGCTTGATCGTCCTCCTGGTATCCCTCCTCATCGACGCCCGCACACTCTTGTACGCACCCTGACTCGTAAATGTGAGCAGACCTAACGCGCCCGACGACACCTTGGTCCCTAGGTTCAACACGCCAATACCCACGCCCTTGGCAGCACCCACGGCGCCCTCCTTCTTCGCACCTCGCACAGGTGACATGACGAGGCCGCCAATGCCCTCGACGATGCCGTGACTGAAGTTCTTGCCCGCCGCGATGCCGCCTGACTTCCAGTCCGTCACGGCGCCTGGGTCATAGACTTCGCCGCCGTACAGACGTGGCGCTACGCGCATACCCTCCTCGAGTGCGTGCGGTATGTCGAGATAGATGCCCTTCGTAAAGGACTTGAAGAAGCCGCCAACACCACCGGCTGAGCCAGCAAGTGCAGCCTCGGCACGACTCCTTTCTGGCTTCTTGCCTTCGGCGTTGTTTGTAGGCACATCAAGGCCAGCAGGTCTGCCGTACGGATCGTCCGCAGGGTGCGGACTCGACTCTCTGCTCGATCGCTTGCTGCCGGGTCGGTCCGAGGTGAACGCCTGTACGGGCTTGACGACGATGTCTGCCGCCGAGTCGCCATGCCGGCATACATTTTGATTGCTGATGACGTGACGGCTGTAACGGGGTCCCACCTTCGGGGCTGAATGTCAATGGGGCGAGGCTCGTAGCTGATCCAGGTTAGCTGCAGAGCCCAATCGATCGCATTTCAACACTCGCTTACCGTGTGAGATCAGCCCACTTGATCCTCTTGCTGTCGGTCAGGATCTCCGCGGCGGCTTTGGAGAGTTTCATATACTTCGCGTCTTTCTTGTAGGACCAAGCAGCGGCGAACTCGGGCAACACGTCGCATCGCATGTTGTCCAGAGGAAGATGGCGTGGAAGGAATTGACGGCTTGTCGCACGCCGTTCTCCTGGCGCATCTTGTCGGCCATGACCTGGGCAGCCGCCTGCGCGCCGGGCGTCAAGCAATCATTGATAGCGCTGGCGAGGTTTTGAGCGTTGAGCTGTCTTTGCGGGATGGGCATCGGCCCCGCGCCAGCGGCGTTGACCATGGTGCCCCAAAAGGGTTGACTAGATAGACTGCATCAGTATCTTGGACCTTGAGAGAATGTAGGCGCATCAATACGCACTCGCCGAAAAACGGCACGATAGCCGTTGGCTTCCCGTTGAGCAAACCGCACGCCGTGGTACCAGCTCCACCGTGGTGCACCACGGCTGTGACATGCTGGAACAGCCACTCGTGAGGACAGTCGCCGAGGTAGAATATGTCGCTATCGGCGGGCTGGTTGGCGCCGAGCTTGCTCCAACCCCTCGAGATGATGGCACGCACACCGGTCTGCTTGACGGCCTCCACCAATATCGCCGTCAGTCTGTCGGGGTCGTCAATGACAATGCTGCCAAAGCCAATGTAAACAGGCGCAGGTCCACTGCGTAGAAACTGGTCAAGTTCCGGCTCAGGAGTGTAATGCGGAGCGTCTCGGAAGAAGAAGCCACACACATCTGTTATCTTGGTCAGGTCTTGTTGGAACACCCCTGTTTGTGGATCACGTACCAATGTAGTTCGGCCAGTCTAGGGGCTTGGGAATCAGGGCCGGGGACCAGCAATACGTGAATGGAATTTGCAGAGCTTCAAGCAGGCCAGCGCCTTCAGAGAAGGGAACATCCTCCAGGTCCAGGGTCTGCCTCCACGCATTAATGACGTCGCCAAGTCTATCTCCAAGTCAGTCTCGCATGCAGCTTCGGATAGATATGAGCGAGCCCCTTACCCCTGCCAAGTCATCCACTCGACCGCCATGTATGAGATCTGGTTGGCAACAGCTGGTGATATGCTGCTATTGTTGACGTTGATGTTGGCCAGTGGGTGGCAAAAGTCTTTCGTGCTGCTCCACGGCATGGTGAACATGAGGTGCAGCGGCACGCCGAGAGCTTGAGCGCAATGGACATGAGCGAAGCTCGGCGGGTTCGCAATAATCGCATCAGCGACGAAAGGCTGCTGCGTCAGAGGGTCCGGTTCGATACACGACCTCCAGCAGCCTTCCAGCATCTCAGCGATCATGGTTCGCTTCTTTTGGATATCGCCAGCCCGCAGGCTCTTCATAGAAGGCATCAGTCCGGGGTTCTTGACCATGTAGGCCATGAGCTCTGTCGGATCTCCACCGATAGGGTAGAACTCCAAGCCAGATTTCCGTACGAAGTCGGCAAAGGTGTCATGGGTGGCGAGGCGAACTCTGTGGCCGTGGCGCTGAAGTTCGTTGCCGAGGGCGATGAAGGGCTGTACGTCGCCTCGACTGCCGACGACCTGGATAACGATATTCAATCGAATCCCCCAATCGACCTGCTCAGTGTAGGCAGGAGGGAGTTCGCTGATGGGCCGGTCGGTCCTCGGCTGGACCGACTCTCTCCGAGGGACGAGAATCGAGAGAGTTCTGCAAAGCTTCGAGTCGAGGTTGATGTCGATACGTCCGTCCGCTGAGACGAGTGGTTAGTGGGGTTGGAAGACAGCGCACGGCGTCCTGAAACCATCATACCAGTTGCCCCCGCTGCGTCGTTGAGAATGCGCTCGGCGGCGGCAGCCTGTTCGGAATATCGTGGAGGCGCATCTCCTGGTGACGCCTCGTAGTCGGCTGGGCCTACTTCATCTGGTGCAAAGGATGATGGCCGTCGCGGCATTGGTGCGCGGGGTAGTGGTTTATCATCGCCAGACATGATGAGGTGTAGGTAATGGCTCGACGGTATTGCCTATCGCCGACAGAGGAGAATGAAGACAAGATTGCTGGCAAGGACAGAGTGATGACATTGACGAGCGGGATGGCCACGCTTATGAATGGGAGCTGTCCCGTCTCAGACTCCAGCTGGACCCTGAGGAAGCTCTAGGGCTACATTAGTCTTACAATTGGGTTGCAGCATGGTTGCAAGGTGTCAAGGGATTCGCGTCTGCCAATGCATGTGGGTGCTAGTCAGTCAGCAGGACCCGATCTGCCATTGAAAACCCATGATTGAGCTGCCGATATGCCGGCCTGGCACAGTCTGGATGTGTTTCTAGACCAACGGCTGCCTGAGAGCCAGGGCGCCTCGTGGACTTGGGAGGCGAAGCTCCACAGTAGGCACATGGGATGAGGCCGTGTTCGATTCAGGACGCGAACGGTCCCTAGGTGGAGGACGGCCATGCTGCTCTTGACACCAGCGAAGGACGCTAGTCTCGTATTTTTTCGTATTCGTGTTTCTCACATCCTCGTTCTTCGGATTCGCCGGGTCCACACTGGCATGACTCGCGTTACTGCATCGCATCGGAAGACGCTTCACGGCTCAGGTTGCACTGCGCTTAGGACCGCGTGTGAATGTTCTATTCACTTTCCAGAATCGAGGGGTCGCCACAGCCAATTAAACCTACGTACACAAGCATTGGAGGTTTGCGACAGTTCTACTGACATGTTCATGACTGATTTGAATCTCAACGTATTTGCATGTACTGCATGTACTTGTCTCTATCCTCGCTGCATGCTCATCAATCATCCCCAAAAGTAAGAAGAATCTACTGGTCAAACAAGTACACATTTGACTCCAGCTGACGAGTGTTGAGCTATAATCTGGTCAGGTCGTGCTTCAATCTCGAGCAAGCAAGCGAAGAAGACTTACGAAGCTGGTGCTGATGTTCTGTAGGTTCGTGGCACCCAGCTGGGCACCATCACGAACAATCTCTGTCCTCATGATGTCGATGGCCTTGGTGACACCCTCGAGGCCGTACACGTTCGAGTACATAAATCTGCGAACCTTGTGAGCGCCTTAATTCAACGATGGCCAGAATGTGCTTTGTACTCACGGTCGACCCATACCCACGGCTTTGACACCGAGGGCAAGCAGCTTCAGGACATCGCTGCCGTAGCGAATACCACTGTCCGCGAGAACGTCCACCTGCTGGAAGACTTGAGGGGCGTTTCGGTAGATCTCGTAGGCGATCTCCAGGGGGCCGGGGGTGTGGTCAAGCTGACGACCGCCGTGGTTGGAGATGTAGATGGCCTGTGCGCCCTTCTCGACAGCCCAGCAGAGCCTCCTCGGCAGTGGTGATGCCCTTGAGGATGATAGGCAGGCTGGTCTGGTTGCGCCATCTGATCATACACATCCCAAGTCAGGGCCGACGAGACAGAGTTGGCGTTCGTAGTGTCGTAGCGGGCGGCACGGTGCCGGACGGAGTTGCCCGGAGCATCAATGGTGAAGACGATGGCCTTGGCACCAGTTCGCTCGGCGCGGCGAATGTTGTCCCAAGTCACTGAGAGGTTGGCGTTGGTGTAAATCTGTTGAAAGATGACCTGGGGTCCGTTGAGGGTGCTGTTGGACTTGCCAGCAGCGATCTCCTCGATGGTCTTTGACGCGTACATGGACGGGATGTACAGGATGTTCTCCTTGCCAGCCGCTTCGACAAAGTTGAGCTCAGCACGCTCGGGATCGCCATAGACGCCGCGGGCAGCGGGAGCAATGAAGAAAGGAGCGCTAAAGTTGTAGCCCAGAATCGTGGTGGCAAGAGTCTCGTTCAGCTTGGTCACGTCGCTCAGGTGTCTTGACCTGAATTGCACAGACTTCCAGATATCGAGGTTGTGACGGTAGCTTTGCTCGCCTGCCGTGCCAGTGCGGTAGAAGCTGTACATTTGGTCGTTCAGGTGCTGGCGGGCTGCCCAGTCAAAGTCGGGGAGGGCACGAATATCCTTGAGAAGGGGCAGTGTTCCCTCTGTGTAGTTGGTGCCAAGAAGGTAAGTCTCGAGCCCAGTGTCGACCTCGTTGATCCATGGTTCGCCAGCAAGGACAACAGCAGCTAGCTGCGTGATCAGGAGAAGTGAGGAGTGCATTTTCGAAATTCTACGAAACGGACGAGATGGGTGAGAGAACAAGTCGGAGAAATGCCTAACCTCGATGACAGAACAGTCCCCTGGACCAGCTGTCTATCGCACCTTTATACTAAATCGTCAGATTAGACCAGAGACAAAGCCCGAATAGCCTGTTCCCTGCCCATGGCAGCGAAAATCGACTCCGGGCTCTACGTCAGGGCCAGAACCCCTCAGGAGCCTCGTGGCATCGGCAAAGCCCCGAACCAGGTGCATGGCTTCAACCAGTTTGGCGGGACCGCTTCATCTCGAGTGCAATAAAGTTCAGACGTTCCTGCAAGCATCTTGCCTTTTCAGACAAGGATCGTCCTTGGCGGGGTTGTCAAGTACAGATGAGGTCAATCAGCCGGAAGGTTGGCACGATCTAATCTAATCAATCTGTGACATAAGTCTTACAAACCGTGAGTGCCGGGTTGAATTATGTGGAAGAGGCTCTTAAGTGCCGCAATCGGTTGTCGAGAGTCCACCGCGGAGGAATCGTGGGCCGAACCTTCGGAGACTGAGTCAGAATTTGGTGACGCTAGGTCTCTTACCAACGAGGTTTTCACCAAGATTTCTCATTCCACTCCGGGCTGCCGAGGCCAGAAAAACAACGCTCTTCGCTCAGCCACATTCGACAAGCAGGGTTCAAGGCGCGAATTCTCAGCATGCTGCTGGTCGGTAGCTGGCTTCGTTGGTCTCAGGGCCTAAAAGAAGCATTTGTTTGCAGCATTGATGAACCTTCTGCATTATCCCACATGGGCCGCGTATTCGTCGTGACAGGTCACGAGTTCGCAGGCATCGGGATCGGCCGAAGAAGCGCTCGTAATCCGACAGTGGCAGACAATTGGCATCTGTTGTGCTGGACCGGACTGACTGAAGAGGTTTTGCAGAGGCTCGCTACAATGCCTGTCGAGACCCTCTGATATCAACTAGTGCTGCGATGAAACAAGGCAGTGGCGTCGATATTGCACTATGCCATGTCGTGGTCAGGCCGCCCCCGAGTTCCGATCATGACTAGGCGTGCCAGAAAGTTGGCTACACGGAAGAGCAAAATATTAATGTCAAACAGTTCAAACACTCAAAAGGAGGCCATAACAAGCAGATGCGAAACAGAGAGTGCCGGCCTCGATCAAGATTTCGATCTGAGAGACGTCGGCGGAAGAGACAGGCACCAAGAAAACCATCGAACACTTTGGCCTTGTTGCTGGAGTCAGCACAAATAGCTGTTTTTTATCAGCTGCAACAGCAAGGTTGTCATAATTTCGAAAAGAAAGGAATCGAGTGAGTTCAATGAGTGGCATTACATGGGTGCGTTCGTGTAACCAGTCCAACCTATGCGGGCTAACTTAACACTCAGCGAGACCCTGAAAGGCATTCAGAGAGGCCGAAGTGACAGTCCACAGACCACCGAAAGTGACATCGTAGTTGTACCATCGACGATTAGATGTTGATATACCAGTCGAAAGGCCGTGTGTGGCGTGAGAGGTATGCCTTGCTGGCAATGTCTGCCGCGAGGTTGGTTGGAAATGCATCGCTTCCCTGCATAATGAACAATTGTTCCAATGCGACTTCGCCTGGTGCTATTCGACGCTGACGGTCAGGGACTGGCATACCATTTACCTTCGTGACAGCAATGATGAACATACTGGACACTTCGAAGCGGGGGTTGAAGGGCTCCCAGACAGCGCAAATGGTGGTGCCAGGTGTGATCAGGACCATTCGAAGAAAGATATCCATCCGCCGGAAGAAAACATGCCGCACATGAACCACATAGAAAACATCGTTCCAGTTGATTCAAGGTTCGTCTCATTCGCGAGCCGTAAGTGTACATTTCCTCCACGTTGCCACCAATTCGAAATCTATGAGCTCGCCTCGCCAGCCGCCTTCTTCTTCGCCGCTTGTTCTTGGTCGTACTCGATCAATTGCTTCGACCAGCTACCGAATGTCAGTCTCATAGTGATATATCGTTGGGAAGAACATCACAGGGCTTACTATCTGCTGGGGAAGAAAGCGCCCTCCTTTGGCATGATGTATCGGTGCTCCTTCTCCGAGCTGATCTTCCAGACACCGCACATGACGCCGAACATGACAAGACCCATTACGGCCGTATTGGCGCGCCAGTTTGAAGGTTGCGTGTACCAGCCACCGGCAGGCGACCAGACGTGCTTGGGGTACCTTCGGAGACAAGGTTAGAGGGTTTTCGAGGGAAACGACGTTTGGGTTCGTGATCGAACTCACGGGACTTTCGGACCGCCACCCTGTGAAACACGTTAGCGAGGTCGCATAATGTGGAATCTCTGGTGCCTACCATTTTGACTGTATCTTCAATTTGATGGGGGTATTTCGTGGATAATGACAATTGGCGAAGCCGTAATTCCTGGATTGGCTCTTGAAGTCCTGATGCCCTGCTGGATTTCCTGGCGGGTCGGAAGAAGCGGAACCCGGAGAACCTTGTTAACCCGAGCTAGCTCCAAGCATCCCAGCGCTGGGACCCTTGTACCTCACACGACTCCACGACTCGTCTCGTCAGTCGGGAAACTTTTTCGTGACGAGGCGAACGACGAAGCAGACGACCCAGCGATTCGTCCCACCGCAACCCACTGCTACACCTGTACAACACGGTTTTCTTTCATTCGATCATTACAGATGAAGAGGGTACGGACATTACGATGCACTGGGCAATTGCTCACCGCTCAAACCAGGGCTGCCATTCCTTCCTACCACACCCCAATCTCGACCTCCTTTAAGACAGCGACAGCCGCAGCCGCACCACGTCTCCAGCAGTCACGGTTACAATCGACCAGTGCGACCCCATCCTCCCTCGAGGCTGCCATAGACGACCTCGATATTCCCGAGTACAAACCTCTGCCGTCACCGCTTCCGGCACGAGCTCTCACCTCCCCCAAGCTCGCCGCCCTCCATGCTCGTCTCTCCCTCCCCTCAAAGCTCCCCCTCCAGACTCTCGCCCGTTGTCTTGTCGACCCATCCGCCGATGCGAACCCGCACTTCAACAATGCCAATCTCGCCCTGACCGGTTCCTCTCTCATCAGCTACCACACCTCCGAGCGCCTCGTCGTTGCCTACCCCCGACTGCCCATGGCTATCCTATTCGAGGCCATGCGCTCCTACGCCGGCCCTGCATCCCTCGCTAAGATTGCCCAACAATGGGGTGTCGAGATGGCTGCCGCCCCCGGTGAAGAGGTGGACCCCGGCCTGCTGCAGTACTCCCTGGATCCCAAGGCTGGCGTCGTGCACACACGCTGGGGCTATGTCCGCAAGAAGGCAGCCCACATTGACAAGTTCAAGTGGCGCCGCGCACCAGCTCCCGTATCGTCTACGACGACGAGTTCGGCGACACGGTCCCACAAGGCGACGCGGAACCCGCACGACGCGACCTCGGCCGCCGACCTCGTCTCCGCCGAGCGCGCCGACATCCGCCAGAACGCCAACGCGGCCTTTGTCCGCGCCCTCGTCGGCGCTCTCTACGTCCACGGCGGCCGCGAGAGCGTCCGCTCCTTCGTCGACGCCCACATCCTTGCCCGCCGCGTCGATCTCGAGAGTCTCTTCAGCTTCAAGCTGCCCACGCGCGAGCTCGCCATGCTGTGCGCTCGCGAAGGCTTCGAAGCCCCGGTCGCGCGCCTCTTGTCCGAGACGGGCCGGCACAGCCGCACGCCCGTCTTTGTTGTCGGCATCTACAGCGGCCAGGACAAGCTCGGTGAGGGCACTGGCGCGAGCCTCGACTTTGCGCGGTTGAAGGCGAGCATGAACGCATTGAAGGCGTGGTACCTGTACAGCCCCGGCGCCAAGAGCCGGGTGCCGAGCGACATGCTGAGTGAGGGCGCGAAGCCGTGGCAGCCGGTGCATATTGACATGGGAGAGGTTATTTAAAGGGGAAGGCGTCTGGAAGCCTGTTTGGGAATGAGAAAAGGGGAAGAAGGAAGAGCATGATGGGTAGCTGTGGAACCCCGGTGTGCCTGAAAAATGGGCAGTGTATATTTTGTTCACATTACTACCACCACTAGGAGACAGGTGTGTACGTCGATGTAGATGTATAGATCTGTACAACACTTGTTCTGTGCTACTTGCCCAACGTCCCCTGCGAACTACCTTACTCGCGTTTATGTCCAACGATGATATAGCCTGGCCAAAATGATCTTGAGTCAACCTCCATCTTCCATACCAACATTCTTTTAATTAGATCTACAATGCTGCACGCTCAATCGGGTATCTGACTCTCACATGCTGCCGCCCATTACAACATGCGATCATTCAACTGAACTGATCGCCCTCGCCCAATCTCGTCCCCATTCCCCGTCTGACGAGGCCCCGATATCGCTCTGACTTTCGCTCCTTCTCCTTGGTCTCTCTGAGTTTCTTCTTCCGCAAATAGACCGCTCTCACCGTCTCGCGAATTTGCCTTTGGCCTTGTGCGTAGTTGGCGCGGGCTAGGGCAACGACCTGGTCAATCTGCTCAGGCGTGTAGACAAAGTTCCAGGTCGACAAGAAGTCCGACTCGCCAGGACTGACACCTGGCACGGCTTCTGGATTCCCGAGGAGTGGCAAGTACACAACCGCAATCCCCGCATCGGGCTCAGAGATGTGCCAGTGCGTCGAGTCATCGAGAGCTCTGGATGGCGGAGGCGGGCTGGTGGACCGCTCCTGTGACGTTCCCACCCAAACGGTGCAGTACCCCAGATCGTCAGTGGTGTTCTTGCCAAGGGTTTTCTTCTGTGCGATCTGCGCTTCATTGAGCCTTCTGTCGGCATCCTTCAGATCGGAAGCCTCGGCATTTTCGAGCTCTTTTGTAAGTTCTTCGGGCGCCTCGCCAGCCTTGGGCCAGCCAATGCCGACGGGCCAGCCTTTGATTTTGCGTTGACGAGCATAGCCATCTGCGACGGCAAGCCAATTATCCGTCTTCGTATCCGCGGAGGCATCAAACGCGATGAGAACCTCGACACCACGTCCAGGGCGCATGAGAGGGTAGAGGGGCAAATTGTTGCTCATGCCAGCATCCATGAGTTGAATGTACTCATTGTCATAGATGCTCGGCGGAGTGGTGTCAGGGAGCCGGCCGTGCATGCCGTAGGCAAAGTTGGCGACAGTCCCTGGGTCAATGGGGTGAACCTTCTCGAGATCGTTGTTGTAGCGACCAGAGATGATCTTGTCCAGGTTCATGAAACCCGAAAGAGACTGGACAAGGGGTCGGACTTCGCGGTAGTAGTGGCTGAGTGTTGCGCAGAAAGCGGAGCCGAAGACGCCCATGAGGAACGGCACGCGAACCTCTGGCAGATGGAAGCCCTCTTCAGGAGGTACATCAACACCGTTGTTGAATTTACGACCGAGGGCCCAAGTTGGTATTCCCGCGGAGAATTCTTCGCAGAAGAACTCGTACGGCGTGATCTCAAACCACTGAAACCATGCCTCTCGAGCGGCCTTCTCCTTGGCGGCCTCAACGCTATCAACGGGCTCGTTGTCATCGATACCGGGGATTTCGTGGCGAACTGCCGTGTAAATTGGCATGGGATTCTGTCCATATTTGATATACTGGCGCTGGTTGCTCAACTTGAAGTCGCTGTCGCAGACCTCGAGTTCGCCCTTAGGAACGAGAAATCGAGCGGCCAGAAGCAGACCGTAAATATCGACAAGGCCAAAACTGGCTTGAGGGTCGCCGCGCAGCTTCTCCACCAAGCCGCTCAAAAGGTATTTGCTAGTTGGAGCAGAGACAAGAGCCTGGAAGGCAACGGGTGGGTAGGCGATGTGAATGGCGGCACGAGACTTGAGATGCTCCAGGATGCGGGGAAGCTGCGGCCGCCGACGGAGGAGAAGTAGAGGGTCTGAAGCCAGCAGGAGCCGGAAACACCAGAAGTGTAGGTGACGCAGTCGAAGAGTCCATCTTGATCGGCTGCATGAAGAGAACCAGAGCCAGCGACCAGAGCTCGTAGGCCTCACCAGAGCCGCACATGGCGATACGGGACATCGTCAGATGAATTTCGTTTCGTCAATCTCAAGGTACTTGGCCAGGGCAACTCGTGTGATCATCTTGCGACGAGCGAGAAATTCCTTCTCGTCGTCGCAGAGATCAGTCGAGATGCGGACAGTCGCCTCATGGCGGATTTCGGGGTTGATGAAGGGATCGTGGGCGTCACGCCATATCTCATCAGCAAGAGACCCAGGCGCCAAGGACAACTCGCGCTGCAGCTTGCGGACGAAACCCGGGAATTTGCTTGGACCACTCCGGGAGAATAAAGCCAACAACTCGATCGGAGAGGGAAGACCATTCTATATCAGCCGCATTAGAGAAAGCCTCAAAGCTGGAAGAGAATGTGTTCCACGCGGCCGATGAAGCGTTTTTCGCTGCTTGCCGGTCTTGGCGCTCCTGCTCCTCGTCTCTTTCCAGCTTCTCCTTGTCGCGTTTTCGCTGCAACTGTCGCTCGCGGCGGTAAGTCTGAGCCTCTGATATTTGGTCGAATTCTTCTGAAGGATAAAGAGCCCAAACGAACAGTCCGCCAGCGATTATAACAGCGGGGACAGTAGGGATGCCTCGGGTCTTCTTCTTAGCCTCGTCTTGCGGGGTGGTTGTGAAGAACCCAGTGCGGAATTGCTTGCTCGCCAATCGGTGTGTTGTAAGGGCATCAAAGCCTTTTCGCCGAGAATGAAACCATCTCGCATGGCCCACTGAGGAGCGTATGTAGGTAACGATCGACCTCATGCTTATAGTTCTTGGGCGCGCAATAGAAGCTTTAGGTGCTTACCATTACCGGCTTGGAGAGGGGGTTGCCAAGAGAGAACGAGCGCGATCTGATTGTTGGGTTGGTCGAATCAGCTGAGGCTTTGCAATCCGACGTTACCGCCTTTGTTCGGTGTAGTGTGCGACCATGTCATATGCTGCCAACGTATGATTGAGGGGAGATGGTGTTCTTGAAAAGTAGAAGTGTGAGGGTTTTTCTTTGTCTGCCTGGCTTGCTTCTCCCTCAACAAACTTGACGCGTCGGTCACGATCTAGTTCGATTGCATTTCGCCCATTGACATCATTGAGGGCAATGCCAAAACCGGGTCGCTCCTGCCTTGGCCGGGGGTGGGGGTCTAAGCGGTACCTTGTCATTCACGTCAATCGCTGCCAAGCAGGAAGTACCCTCTCAGCTTCGTCAGGTCCCGCCCGCGGCCAGGAAGCTCCGGGCCAATGATTCGCCAATTGGATCACATGTGAATCACATCGTCCTGGTTCCTGTTCCTGTTCCGAGTCGTCGCTGCCTCATGTGGATCCGGGAGGCAACACGTGCTTGGCTATGAGCCTTCGCGACGGACTACATCAACGTCGTGCTCGTTCTGTGTGCTTTAAGGCAAGGTTCAGGGGGAAGGGAATGCGACAATACATGAATGCCTACTTGCTCTCCAACTAGGACGCTGAGGGAAGCGGGTGTTTGTCCTAACACCTAGCGCCATGCCAGATCATTCTCGACTTCCTCGCAGACTTGCACGTCGTGCAAATCTCGAAGCCAATGGACTTCTCCTCGCAGCTGTCAACAAATACTGTAATAATGCGCCACGTGATTTTACACGTAATACCTATATATTGTTCTTGCACCACTTGCCCGATGCTCGGTCGCGTGTGGCTCAAGGACAGCTTCTGCATTGTTCCCGCCAACCGCCTCCATTGTTCTAGACATCACCACTAGTAGGCGACCGGGAGACCCAGTGAGGGTGCAAAGAGTCATCAGGCAGCCACTTGGTCAAAAATATCTTAATATTAATAAGAAGAAATCCCTTCCCGGCGGCGGCAACAGTTAATATGATGTACCGTTATCCTCGCTCTTGTCGTTTCGTCTCGAGCTTGGCTTTCGTGCCCACACAACATGCCGCGTGTCTGGAGGTATCCCAATTCAGCAACGTGGGTTCCTCTACCGTCGCCAACACATTCGCACGAGTGGCTTGAAGCAGTCATGGGTCGACCATTGCTTTCTCCCAGCCAGGGGCGACCTGCGAACCCAAAGGTCGCAGTCATCGGTGCAGGTATGAAGCCGAGGAGCCACAAAACAAACCTGGACGCTAATGATGAGCAGGTCCGGCTGGTTTGGCGTCCTTAAAGGAGCTTCGCGGAGTGGGGTTCGACGTGACGGGTTATGAGCGCAGGTCAGACGTCGGCGGCATCTTTACTCTTCGATGCCGATACCTCTCATCACGTCGGCAACACCTTGTACGCGCTCGCAGCTAAGCAAATATGTTGTGAGCCTCCCCTACCGATTGGCGAAGTGGGGCAATCTCTAATCACCAGCCAAGTGCCAATGTCAGATTCCCATTCCCTGATGGCAAGGCGCTCCCCATCTTCGTTGTGCATGAAAATACTGACCATTTTCAGGCACGTCTGTCCATGTGTCATCTAAAGAGTGGTCCGATTACTATCATCAGTACGCTGAACACTTCAACTTATATGAGCACATTGTCTTCAATACAACCATTGAAGTTATCAAACGCGATGAAATAAATTCAAAATGGATGGTGCATATTAAAGGCGAAACTGAGCCCAAAGTCTTCGACAGGGTGGTGTTCTCGAGCGGCTCAGAAACCATTGCCATGCATCCCAAGATCGACGATGTACACAAATTCAAAGGCCAATTTATACATGGACAAGCTTACAAAAGGTAGGTACTCGACATATGCTTGCAATGTCGTTTGTTCATTTGCTAATAAATGAGTCCTGCTGATTTCGAGGACAAAAATATCATTGTCTTGGGCATGGGAAACTCGGCCGGTGATACAGCCTGCGTATGACGCCCCTTCGTCTTCATAAACTCAACGACTAATTTGCGCAGGAACTTACTGAGTATGCCGCCAAAGTCTACCTTGCCCATCGCCGCGGCGCCAAAATCCTTCCTCGGGCCAACGAGGATGGTCCTCTTGACAGCTATGTCTCCTGGAAGATCTCTCGTATGGCTCTGTGGACGGAGCACCACGCACCTGGAATATTCCAGATCCTTGCCGATGGTTTACTCCAGAAGAACTCGAACAGTCACTTTAGCGGCGAGGAGGCCGAGCAAAATTTGGAATGGGGGCTCGAGGAAACTAGTGGAGACGTCACCACCATCATCTGCAATGATCACCTGAAGCGGCTGGTTCACGAGAAGCGAATCGCTTCAGTCAAGGGGGTCAAGCGGATCATCGGTCCACGGACTGTGGAGCTTGATAATGGCGACATCATCGACGACGTCGATGCCATCATAGCCTGCACGGGCTATCGAGCCGACTTTTCGCTATTGCCAGATCTACCAAGCACGAAGCTGGACGCTTCGCTCCCAGTGTTTCCAGACCTGTATCAGATGATTTTCCCGCCGCGCTACGCCGACTCACTCGCATGTACAAACTATTGCATCATAAACGAAAGCGCAGCCGCATACCGCGAGCTCCAAGCCATGGCCATCGCACAGGTTTGGGCTGGTCACTCGATTCTCCCGAGCGAGGAGGCGATGATGGTGCAAGTGCACGAGTACCAGACATGGCTCGCTTGTCAGATGCTAGCTTTTCCAGCAACAATGCTGGGAAAGGGGCAGATGTACCCGTGGATGAGATGGCTGCACGACACTGCTGGTACAGGGTTGTATGAGCACATGGGCTGGAGCCTCAAGGGAATGTGGTTTTGGCTGCGAAATCGTAGGTTGTACAACCTCGTCGCTTGGGGTGTGTACTCGCCACACATTTATCGTTTGTTCCCGACGGGCAAGAGGTCGGCGTGGGAGGGGGCGAGTCAAGCTATTATACAGGTGAACGAGGACAGGGAGAGGGCATTTCCGAAGAAGAAGTAGAAGAAGCAGGGAAAGACCTAGATTCTGTCTCGGAGGTCGGTCTAACGATGCAATGTCCGTCAAACCTTTCCTGGACCATAGAAAAACCTCCATCGATTCACGTTGACAGTGGCTCTCCTGTATAGACTTTGACGATGGCCAGCCACAGGCGATGAGCCAATGGTTGGCAGTTGGGTCCATATGTAATCATGAGAACAGTCATGCAGTTCTTCGCAATCAAATGTGCGCTAGCCTTCCATCAGAAAAGAAGAGATGACGACTATGTTTATCATCTCGCCCCCCAAATTTTGCTGGGAACAACCGATAAACCACCTTGAATTGAATTTGGTCTGCAGAACTGCCATCTACGGAACTGGACTCTCGGCCGTTCTCTCATGGCTTGTGAAACAGTGAATGATCGCTACGGCACACAATGAGTGGCTGCTCCTTGGTTCTTCTGCCAGAAATCGGGTTTTGCTGATCTTCATGTTGGCCAGTGCTCTGCCAGAGTCTGTGTGTTTGCTTTTTTCCATCGGAGCCCGCTTGAGGAACCGCAATTGCAGCGGTTGACTTGAGACGGTTTCCTTTTTCGCAGAGGGTAATTTACCTGAGCCGCCGGCCAATATCGAAATGTTTCCCCGGGTCGTCTGATGACCCAGGTGGTTGACTCGTTTTCGAGAGCTATGCACAGGCTGCACTGCGATCCTCAGGCAGGTAGAGTCCCCTGTTGTTTCAGAGGTGCTGTCATCTGCCGTTTGCCTACTGCCATCTCGATGAAAAGTCGTCGGTAAGTGAGCGGCACCTATGTGGGCACAAGATAAGGCACCTCAAGTACCCGGTCTCTAGGATAAGCACCTGACAGACGAGAAGAGTGCCGTGGCAGGACATGGCAGGCCGGCTGGACGTCTTAAATTACAGATGCCGCAGTGCATCACTGATGGTTCGGGTCTTGGTTGGGCTTCCCCGGACACGGGCAAATGGAGAGGATCCAGACGCGCAAGTGAGCGACGGCGACCCCTGGACTCGCCTGGGCGACGATGTTTATAGGGGTATTTGTTAGGCCCTCGTATGATTGAAAGTCCCTTCTGGCGTGGCGCTCGCGGGCAAGGTACACCGAGGTGGTCAAGTCCCCATCCGTGCTTCCATCCAGTGGGAGTGGGCGGGTCCCTTCTCATTAAGGTCGACATCAAGCAGCCAACCACCGAGCTCGCATCCGAACCACCCAAGGCACGCCCCCCCCGTCTAGAGGCCGGCATCCTTGCCTCTAGTCCTGAAGAGGCCTAGCGCGTCTCAAGCCCCTATTGCTGGTGGAAAGCAACGGCCACCTAAGCCGCCGTAGGAAGGGACGCTTGGGACGGCAAGAGGTACTGGGCCACTGAAACGGGGTCGCACAGCCAAATCTTTCTAGTGGCCGGCCACCTCCTACGCACTCTCTGCCTTAGGGACGCTGGGTCCACGTCCCCTTGCTCGAGCCGCTCCCTGTCATCACCTCGACCTAAATTTCCCATCTCCTTTCCTCCCAACCCCAAGGACGTTCGTTCGCCATCACGACCTCCATCCCCCTTTGAGGCTGCCTTCCCCCATCATTCATACTGCCGCATCTCGCCAGTATTTCTTCCTTTGATACCACCGAGCGTCGTCGAAATCGCCAGAGCCCTTCTTCCAGAGAAGTCCTGCGACGCCCCTGACACGCGACTTCACACCACGTTTTAGGTACGTGCAATGATTTTTCCTGGATTCGCTCAAATGCTGGATTTGAGGCGGGCAACTACACACCACGGAAGCAAGAATGGATCAAGCTTCTCGCGGGTCGCATCTCAACGCGGCGCGGTCCTGTCGTTGACGCGAAGCTGCCCTCCCGTGTGATTGAATGGTCATCGATGCTTGCTCCCCCCTTTTCTGGCTTTCTTGCAATGCCCATCAAACCGCCCAGGAGTCATCAATCGTCGCTGACTTTCTACTGCACAGAACCTACCATTCCTTCCCTAGGTACCACGTATTCGTGAACAGCTCCAACTCCCGAGCTCTCAATAATGGGTAAGCGCATTTCTCTCCTGAGCAGCGTGATGCATTGGAAAGGAAGGCAAGAGGAACTGCATTCGATCACCGGGCAAGCATGACCCTCTCAACCGAATGCAAAACGTGGCCTACATCTCGCCCCCGGCCTTGAATCAGGCCCCTCGAATGTTCTCCCAACAACGTCGACACCACGCGCTCTCATTACGGTTTTCGAATAAACCCCCATCTACCATTTTCTTGGGTGTCTACCTTTTTGGTCCTTTATTGGTAGACCAGAGATTACCCTCTTTTTGGAAGCACGCGAACAAAACACACGAAAAGCCCCCCAATACCCACCCAGAAACTCTCTAGCATTCAATGGCGATGAGAATGGTCGAACACGTCAAGGCCCGAGCACGAAGTGTCCACTTAGACAAGAGCAACAACAACAGCTCATTATGGGCCAGCCGGTCAACACCCAGCCAAGCCATCATATCTCCTTCGAGAAGATCCAGTAGCCTGCCAATCAGCAAGGACGACACCGTTGGCTCGCGGCCCTCTTCAGCTCAGCCAACGGTTCGTCACTACAGGAGCATGCTCTATGTTGATGCTCCATCCATCGACGCCCCCGGGGACACGATTCCAGACGAGTTCTTCCAGGACCTTTTCGATGCGGTTGTGAAGCCGCCCAAGCCCGAAACGGAACATCTCGTGAAAGCAAAGGCAATGGCCGACCACGACCTTGGCCATAAATGTTTGCGTTAGCACAGTCTCCTTTGCCTTCCTGCACGACTGCAGCACAATGAACAGCTTACCATAGTTTATGTCGATTGATTGCTAACATTTTGGCTCATAGCTTCTTCCAACGCATCTCCCGCCGTGTCCCCCCCGCCGCAACGGGCCGCCGCGGTTCCCGCCCCCTTGGCCGCCGCGCCTCCAGTAAGTGACACTGGGCAATCTAAGCGCGATCGCTCCTTCTAACTCTGGCTTTAGGCGCTGCTCCCAGTGCTTCCCCGGCCGCTCAGTCTTCGAGCGACCTCCGCAACATCGTTCGCCGCAAGTTGACTGGCTACGTTGGGTTCGCCAACCTGCCCAACCAATGGCACCGCAAGAGTGTCCGTAAGGGCTTCAACTTCAACGTGATGGTCGTTGGTATGTGGTTTGTATACTTCTGTGTAAAACACTCAACTGACCTGGAATCTCAAGGTGAATCCGGACTCGGCAAGTCGACTCTCGTGAACACACTCTTCAACACCTCGCTCTACCCTCCCAAGGAGCGCAAGGGACCTAGCCTCGACATTGTTCCCAAGACTGTCTCCATTCAGTCTATCAGCGCGGACATCGAAGAAGCTGGCGTTCGGCTGCGCCTGACTGTTGTCGATACCCCTGGTTTCGGCGACTTCGTCAACAACGACGAGTCCTGGCGCCCGATTGTCGACAACATCGAGCAGCGATACGACGCCTATCTCGATGCTGAGAACAAGGTGAACCGCATGAACATCGTGGATAACCGCATCCATGCTTGCGTGTTCTTCATCCAGCCTACTGGCCACTCCCTGAAGCCTCTGGACATCGAAGTCATGCGCCGCCTGCACACCAAGGTCAACCTGATTCCCGTCATTGCCAAGTCTGACACCCTGACCGACGAGGAAATTGTTAGCTTCAAGGCCCGCGTAAGTTGCATATGCATTCCAGTTACACCGCCACTTAACTAACCAGCACCCAGATCCTCGCCGACATCAAGTACCACGGAATCCAAATCTTCGAGGGCCCGAGGTACGAGCTCGATGACGAGGAGACCATTGCCGAGAACAATGAGATCATGTCCAAGGTTCCCTTCGCCGTGGTTGGTGCTGGTAACGAGATCACCACCGCCGACGGTCGCAAGGTTCGTGGCCGTGCCTACCCCTGGGGTATCATCGAGGTCGACAATGAGGAGCATTGCGACTTTGTGAAGCTTCGCCAGATGCTCATCCGCACCCACATGGAGGAACTCAAGGAGCACACCAACAACACACTCTACGAGAACTACCGTACCGACAAGCTCATCGCCATGGGCGTGTCCCAGGATCCCAGCGTGTTCAAGGAGGTCAACCCCGCTGTCAAGCAGGAGGAGGAGCGTGCGCTGCACGAGCAGAAGCTCGCCAAGATGGAGGCCGAGATGAAGATGGTCTTCCAGCAGAAGGTCACCGAAAAGGAAAGCAAGCTCAAGCAGAGCGAAGAGGAGCTCTACGCTCGCCACAGAGAGATGAAGGAGCAACTAGAACGCCAACGGATGGATCTCGAGGAGAAGAAGCAGAGGATCGAGAGCGGTCGTCCCATAGAGGGCAAGGAGACCAAGAAGAGGGGAGGCTTCTCGCTCCGCTAAGGTGGTCAGCGCCCCTTGACGTTGCCTTTCGCCTACTCGCTTCTTCCACGACCCCATGTTTGAGTACCCATGATGCCCATACACACAAAGCTCAATGCGCCTCTTTGTCAGATTCTATTCTTGTCTTTTCTTACCACCGCCCTTCTCTCGACCTCTTTTTTTAATCACACTCTCGCAAGCTTTCCTTTAATCAACGGCGACCCTTCATCGTCATCCAAAAGTCTTTCCATGAAGCAGTCAAGCAGTGGGTTAATGCAGGCTATGAACGGAAAGACAAAATCCAGAAAAGATTGCAGATTGCGGATCGAGCTTCTGCGAGGCCACGATCATGACGACTAGGAGTTCTTGGGGCACTTTAACCAGCGACACTGTTTTTGTCCTGCCCTTCGTGGTGGAGGGCGAAGCAAGAGACGCTGCGGAGAAGCAATAGCTGGACAGCAGAGGCAAACTGCCGTAGCAAAGGATCGAAATCTTGTTCTTTTGACGGAACGGTTTCGCCACCCATCTCGGGTTTCTCTTAATATGACGGCACTCTCAATACCCCTGATACCTTTGGAGCCTTGTTTTATCCCTTGCAGTTCCTATAGGGCTCCTGTCGTTGCGTAGCGCTGCACGGCTTGTTTGCGACTGTTGTGTTTGTATTCTAGTCGGATAAGGCTATAGAGGTGCGGAGGTGTGGAAGATGGGAAGGGTTTTGGTCAGTCCATTGTGCGTCTGACGAGAGCTGTCCTCCGGTCCCTTAGCATGTCATTTCCCTTGCAGGTATTCTTCCTTACTTAGTTACTGGTTTCGTCTGCGAATTGAAGATCAGTTTCCTGAATTTGATCACCTTGACGAGGACGTGTGCCTCACGAATTGTCATGCATATGCTCTTCGCCCAACACTACAAGTGACCTGACCCTACGACGCTAATCACGAATAAAAGTGTTGATGATAATACATTGAGACTACATTTTGACCTTCTACATAGTTACTCCAATGTTGTACACGCCGTGATGGTGGCTGTGCAGCCAATACTCTGTCACGAGCCACGTGGGCCGGTCCACATCCCCTCCCACGTATCAACAAGAACCGGCCTATATCGCTCAAGCTCTACTAAATGGAACGCTGAATCTCGTTCTAACGCCTCCTGAGATACCAGTTGAAGGCCAGCTGGTTCTGGTCGATGGGGAAAGGGGTGGGGACCTCAGCCTCGCCGCGGCGGGCGACAGGGTGGCGGAGGTAGACGGCGGCGCAGATGTTCTGATTGACCTCGAGGTAGCGGGGGATGAAGGCAAAAGGGGCGATGTAGCGGCGCGGCTGCCAGGGGGTGAGGTAGGGTTTCGTCTCGTCGACGGGGTTCTCGGCGTCCTCGGCGAGGAGGCGCGCGAGGGCGTCCTGCTCGGCCTTGGTGAGGGTCTGGAGCTCTTGCTCCCAGGTCTGGGGGGTGGGCTCAGCGGTGTCGACGACCGCGGGCGTCGGCGGGCGTCGGGCATCCGCCTTTGGCCTGTTTGGGCGTGGTCGAGGTTTGAGGCCCCTTGAGGATGGTGGCGAGCTGGGTCATGACCGAGTCGCGGGAAGAGGTCGGCGTCCGGGTCGAGAGCCGCGCCGTTTCTTTGTCCGAGGCGAGAGATGGCGCGGCTTGGCCTCGGAGAAGGAAAGAGGCGGGACGCGCTGTTTGTGCCTTGGCGCTCATCTTTGTCCTGGCCGTCCTTGAGCAGCGTCTTGGCATCCTGGATGAGACTGGCGGCTTGTGGCTGTGCTGAGCGGCGCGCTCGTCCTCCGTCATGGGCTCGCCGTCCTCGCCGAAGCATGCCGGCCGCGTCGGCATCGGTGGCCGCAGCCTCGACGGAGGCTTCCGACTCTGCCTCGACAGCCGTCTCGCCTGCGGCCTGCTCTGAGGCCTCGGCCGAGGGGCCCTCACCGCCGCCGCGGTCGCCGGCCTTGAGCTTGTCGGCGAGCTCCTGGCGCTTGGCGGCGCGGAGGGCGGCGTCCTTGGCCTCGGCGGCGGCTTCTCGCTCCTCACGCTCCCGCAGGAGCTTGTCGAGACGCGCAATCTCTTGGGGGTTCTTGGGCTTGCCGGTGGCGTAGAGGACACGCTCGACATCGACCTGGAACATGTCGCCGGGGTTGAGGAGATAGCCTGGGGATCGCATCTAAAGGTGAACAGAAAAAAAGAGTCAGATGATGAGAGCCTGATAAATTGGTTTGGTACGAGAGAGAGAGAGAGAGATAGAGAAGACAGAGAGGAATGCGTACCAGTTGACCATTGACCCTGACGGCGCCGTGGATGCAAAACTGTCTCGCCTGCAGAGTGCTGCTCGCAAACATCGCCCTGAAGATGGCGACTTCCAACCGCCTCTCCAGTGGAGCGTAGGTCATCTGCATATAGGGGGTCATTTGTTTGGCGACGTCGTTCGTCTTGATCCAGATGTCGTCATTTTCGACCACACGTTTGGCAGATATGTGGTGAAAGGTACCGGACCTCTCGTTGTTGGCCTCATTTTCGAACCTGCGGCGGCGGGCGTTCCATGATTTCGAGAACTGGTCTGCCGAGACGGCGGGCCTGGGGTCGTTGGGATCGAGGTCCCTGCCGGAGCCGCGGCCGGCAGCCTGTTCAGAGCCGTCGTACCGGGCGAGGTAGGCAGGATCGATGTCGACGGTGCCGAGGAGGCGACGAGAGAACATGCGCTCCCAGTCGCCCTCACGCATGGTACCGCCGTGATAACCACGGGTGAGAGACTTGGCTGCCCATTTTTGCTGGAAAAAGGTCCCTGATCTACGGTTTCTCGAGAGCTGCATACGAGCTAGGTTGTACATGTTGAATTTGTTCCATGACATGCGGACTCTCTATTAAAGGACTGCGTTAGCGGCGGTCATGGCTGCTCATATCAGAAGCGCCAGCATGGCGAGTGATCAAGGGGGGAGAGCGGGAAGCGAGAGAAGGTGCTCTGGGGCATGCTCGGGACGGGTTGTCACGTACAGGCTTTTTCAAGCTGTAGAATCTGGGGCGTCGGGCTCTCATGCTGGCGAATTGGGCCTCGGGGCAGTGTCGATGTGCCTTGAGGTATGCTGGGCGTGCAGGCTTCGCTCGAGAACCATGCGACGCGGCATCCAAAAAATTGGTGATGGTCTGGCGTGCAGCACCCCCGAGACTCGTGGTCACGTGCGATTCAACTATCAGTCTCCGGCTGGTCCAGCTTGGTGCACCAGCTGGCAACGGGATGCCTTATGTCAGCAAACTGTGCTTGGGTTCCTCTTTCCCTGAGCTGAGACGAGACAGGCTCACAAGTTTCTGCGACCCCACTTGCCCGCCTTGCGATGTGGGGCTTGTACACGGGTGCTGCAGGCGGTGTGGAGTTCTTGCGTGCGGCAGAATGGAAAGCTCCTGCCTCTGCAGGACGCCTGGCGCCTGCTGCATGCAGTTCAGCGCATCGCGCAAAAAAAAACTCCATCCAGACTCGATTAGATCCAGTCTACCTTCTTCACCTACCTACCTACCTACCTGAGGTACTCCAATGAGCATTGCCAATTGACCCTGTAGAATCTTGGACCACTCTACACACAGTTGCTACGACAAGCTTCGATCTATTGTATGTCTCTGTCCTCACCCCATCGACGTGCATCCCAACCTCTTCACGCCGCTGCTGCTTTACCCCGCCACCATCCAAAGTCCCCTGTCGTTTTCCGTTGCTTCACCTACCTTGCACCCGCAACTTTTGCTTGGCCGGTTACTCACACTTTTTCTGCTGTCAGACACAACACACGCGACTTACCTTTGTGCTACCAACTACTTCTATCTCGACGCCATTTCTCCTGCGCCCAGAGTGTTCATCTTCAATCACATTCAAACACAAAATTTACAGAGTTCGATCCCGAAATTGCACAACCACGACCATGAGCGCCGTCGCTGAGCCTACCAAGGCTGACGAGGTCCCCAAGACCGACGAGGCTGTTCCTGCTGTCGAAACTGCCGCCGAGACCGCCCCTGTCGAGGCCGCGACCGAGAAGACCGACGAGACGGTTGCCGCCGCCGACAAGCCTGCTGAGCCTGAGGCCGAGGTCGCTGCCGCGACCACCGAGGAGCCCAAGATCATCAAGACCAGCGCCCAGCACGATCAGCGCGACAGCCGCAACAACAAGAAGTTCGATGCCTCTCTCCTACCCGAGTCGGATGATCCCAGCCAGATGCGTCGTCAGGTAAGTTTGGTTCCTCCCGGCGCGCGACCACGTTTCCTAGAAAACCCCGACCGGTTGGCTAACTGCATGTCCAGGTCGAGTTTTACCTCAGCGATGCCAACCTCCCTTCAGATGAGCACCTCTGGAACCTCACTGGTGGTCCCGAGAACAAGCCCGTTGACGTCAAGCACATTCACAACTTCAAGCGCATGCGATGCTACCCCAACTACGCAACGCTTGTGAGCGCGCTCAAGGAGAGCACCGTCCTCGAGGTCATCGGCGAGGAGGGCGAGGAGCAGGTCAAGCGCAAGGAGCCCTACAAGCTCACCGTCGATAAGAACGACGTTACCAAGCGCGCTGTGTATGTCAAGGGTTTCGGTGACGAAACCCCCAAGACCCAGTTCGATCTCGAGGATTTCTTCACCGAGCACGGCGGCGATGTCGCGGCCGTCCGTCTCCGTCGCACAGACGAGAATCTCTTCAAGGGCTCCGTCTTTGTCGAGTTCAAGACCGAGGAGGGCGCCAAGGCCTTCCTGGCTATCGAGCCCAAGCCCAAGTACAACGGCCACGAGCTGAAGATCATGTCCAAGGGCGCCTATGTCGCCGAGAAGAGCGGCATGATTGCTCGCGGCGAGATGCAGCCCAGCGCCTCGGCTAGGAAGTTCTGGGAGGGCAAGGGTGGCAAGTCCGGCAAGACGAACGGTCGCGGACGTGGCGGTCGCCCCAACGGCGGCGACAAGGACGACTGGAAGAGCCGCCGTGACCAGGATCAGAAGGGCGGCTTCCGTGGAGGCCGCGGTGGCAGGGGAGGGCGTGGCCGCGGTGGACGTGGCCGTGGTGGTGGTCGCGGTCGTGGAGGTTTCCAAGACCGCGGTGGCCCGCGACAACTCGCGCAATGATGAGCGCAACGCGTACGTACATCTCCTCGTTATGTCTTGTCGAACTCCGACTAACATGTCTCTTCCCGCAGTGCCCAGCCCACGATCCAGGCCACCACCAGCGAGGGCAAGCCCGTCAATGACAACGGAAAGCGCGGGCGTGAGGAGAACGGCGAGTCTGGCGCCCCCCAGGCGAAGAAGGTCGACACTAAGGTCTAGATGCTGCGAGGGCGCGGCGCATGATACCAGGGATGCTCTGTAGCATGGTTCTCGGCGTTTGGTAGGCTTTAGTTACGGGACTGAA